GCAGGGGCACTTTAAAGTTCATCAAATGAGCTGTAGTTAAAGTGACCTTGCCGCCATTTTGAAGTGCATGACACTGAATACATGTGACACTTAGAGTGCTTTAATTAGAGCTGCTCTAATTAAAGCACCCCCACTCTGGAGCACATGTATAGATACCTCAGGTGTCCGGGCTGCTGGTCCCCCTTGATATGGAGGGGCTTCCATATGAGGAGACACTAAGACCAGGCCCGTTGCATTTAGAAAAGAGAGGGTTAAGGGGCGACATGAGAAAGGTTTACAAAACACTAAATGGTGAAGAGAAAGTCCACAGGGATTTATTATTGACTCTCACCAGATAGGAACGAAGGGTCACAACTAGTAGGGTGTGAAGCTAGTAAGTCATTGGTTTAAGATGAACACAAGGCAGTTCTTTTTCACCCAGCATGTCATTAAAGGGTGGAACTCATTGCCACCAGATGTGGTAGATGAGAGTTTTGTCAGACCCAAAAGGGGATTAGGCACATTCTTGCAGGAAAAGGTCACTGGTAGCTATTGAGCATGGGAGTTAGGGGCATGGCCTCTGAATCAGAACTTCCTAGACATTAAATGCTGGAGGCTGCAAGTGGGAGAGGACCAAGGGAAAAAACCTGGGTCATGCCCAATTTACTCTCCCTTTCAACACCTGTTCTCTGCCACTGAGACACAGGAGACTGGAGAAGATGGAGATGACCCAATAAATGGCAGTTCTTATGTTAACTGACCTGCTTCCCCAGTCCTGCCAAGGACATCCCCATTCCCCTCTGCTTGCACCAGTGAGTGCTGGCCTCCTGGCTCCTTCTTGCTGCCTCTGCCATCACCGCTTCCTTCCCACCCACTCTGGGTCTTCTAAGGTTTCCTAAATAAGAGGCAGAGATGCTTGGATTGACTTAGGGAGATGATTTGAGCAAATCAACCAGCCAGGCTGGGAACTACACCTCTCCTTGGAGGCAAATTTCCTTCAAGCTCAATGGATGCAAAAATCCAGCTTTCTTTGACAAGGAGGCTTGGAAACCCAACAGCCAGGTGCTGGGTCTAGGCAGAGGAAGCAGGGCTCACTGTGTTATTAACAGAACTCCCCAGGGTGATGGAAGAAATCAAGAGCCCCGAGAGGGACGGGTGCAAAGAGAAGCAGCTACAGGTGGAGAGCAACAGCAGAGGCATAATGAAGCAGCCAGGCCCCTGGGGCAGCTGCACTGCTGGCACATCTGTGCATCTAAGATGGCAGCTGATATTTTCCACCCTCCCCCACAAACAAAGTCAGTGCCCTGGTCTCCCCACTCTGCTGATGCTATGGGGCAACAGGGAAAAGGTGGGGGCCACCAGAGTTATAAGGTGAGGGACATGTAGGCAACAATAAGCAGGAGCAGACCATAGGGGATGGAGGTGAATCAGTGTGTATATATGTGGGGGGTGTGCGGGCCGGGAGCGATCCAGGCCCTTTTTGTGCTCTGCGCGGGCTGTGGCCAGCAGCCCGGGCACATGGGGTCGGAGAGAACGGGCGACACGCTAGAATTAGGCACAGATGCGTAATGGTTGATTTAAAGATTGTTTACTTGCACCGAAGATGGTCGCAGTGTAGGCTGGACAGTTTTCCAGGCACAGCTCCGATTAAATCCTCGTTTGAGGACTACAACAAGCTCGTTCTCTCCCACGGAGTTGTTGAAGCTCCGTGGGTCCGCTTATTCACTCACAATTCACTCACACGAAGTTTGCTAGGCTCCGTGGGTCCTTTTGCGCGCAGGGATTCAAAGTGAAGAGCTCTGAATAGACTCACACGAAGTTTGCTAGGCTCCGTGGATCTTTTTGTGCACAGGGAAGAGGGATACGTTGAGGATTGCGCTCGGTGACGGGGAGAGGCTAGAGGCTGATCAGACCCCTGTTGCCTGCTTGATATTCACGCTGGGTCCAATAGGCTCCACAGCTCTTAGAGATCTTCATGAGACGTGAAGTCTCCTCCTCCTGGTGTTTGTGGAGTCCTCCCTTGCGGGGGTTCTCCTCGGAGTTCTCCAAGTTTTCCAAGTTCTCCAACTTGGGTGGAAACCACCCAAGCCTTTTATACGGCTAGCAAGCCAATCCCTAGCCGCCACATGTGAATAATCTAGAACTGGCCAATAATGGGACCCAAATTAGCATACAAATGGCGGGAACTCTTTGCAACGAGCATTTCTCAGATGCAAAAGAAATGTACACTGCAAAGAAAGCTACAAATTTGGTGGGAAAATAATTCAGTGGTGCCAAAGCGCACACACAAACAAAAATCACAACTTTGGGTTGTGACATCCCCCCCTTGCTGAAGGCACAGCTGAATTATGCTGTACACTTGTATCTAGAGTTTTGTCATGAGTCGTCAAACGAACAAACAAACAAACATAAAATTCGCTGTCCTGGGATTGAGTTACATACATAATAATCAATAAACAATAATCAACATAAACGCATCATTAGATTCACAACAAAACTGCACGATCAGGGCTTCAGTGGGCGTCATGGCGAAGTTGTACGTCAGGCCCTCACTTCTCGGTGATGTTATCCTTCTCAGGGCTTTTCTTCACCATGCACTCTGAATTCCGGATCTATAAACAAAAGACTCTCAAAAAAAAAAAAAAA